AGATATTTACATACACCATATACATCTAACTGCCACCCAGTTTTAAATACTGCATATAAGGGATGGGCTACAGCTTACTGGTAGAGCACTTGCCTAGACTATATAAGGCCTGGCACTACACGAAAAAACTTAAAAATCACAATATAAATATGGTGGAGGGTTTTTTTTATTTTATAGTGTTTGGGGGTACTGAAGATTGAACCCGGGGCCTGGTCCATGCTAAGCACACAATCTTCCACTGTGCTATATCCCTAGTCCCATGTGGTTTTTCAAGCTAGATTGTTTTCATGAATGAAATAGGAAAACAGGAAACACAGATATATGTGCTCAGAAATATAGACTAATCAGGCCCTGTCTGTCAAAAGTACAATGAAGAACAAAGGAAATACCCTTCTTTTTGCTCAGTGAGGTGGACGAAAACAAACCAGAGGACGGAGAACCAGAAAAACAGGGAAGAATGAGTTGGATGTGAAGCCTGAGGGGTGGGGGTGGGGAGTAGCAACACAGGACATGACATCAACTCCACCGCCAGGTTTTGAACCTTAGGAATTTCTTTCCTGCTCTTGCCCCCAGTTTCCCATCTAAGAACAGGAAAAGGACTGGACCCCCTATGCCACCTTTGCTGGGGCTCAGGGATACCTGTTCTGGAGGGAGTTCCAGTCTCCTCCTCCCTCTGCAGAATGCCAAGTTAAAGGGCGAAAGATAAGTCAACCACACAAAGGCAAGCTACTTCAGTGCCCCAAGCAGCCTGCCACATATCTGGTTCTCCAACATGTCAACTTTTTGCTAAACTGGAGAGGAGGTGATGGAGACATCGTGGGCATATGCACAGCTCCAGGGCATAGCAGCCACTACCCTCACTCACCACAGATCCTCATTCACTGCCAGAACCACAGGGTGTGCTGTTCAGTCTTGGTTTTAATTACCAGCAGGCAAGCAGAGTACGTCCAACTCAAGAAAAAGTTCCTTCCTGCTGGAAAGCGGAGAAGGTTTCCTGCAAAAGGAGCCATTAAGCTGCGGCTTTGGGCTAGATGAATTTATGGGACAGTGCACACATTAGGGGTTGTCCAAGTATGGGGAAGCCAGAGGTCAACATTAGGTGTCTTCAATTGCTTTCTACCTTATTTTTCGAGACAGGGTCTGTCACTGAACCTGGAGCTCACTGATTCAGCTTGGTGAGCCAGCAAGCTTCGGGAATCCTCCTGCCTCTGTTCCCCAGCACTAATATTTACAGGTGTGCACGACCATGCCTGGCTTTGTACATGGGTTCTACAGATCTGACCTCAGATCGTCATGTTGATGATCTGATGTTAAGTTCCTGAAGTGAGCAGGGAGAGGAGATTCCATGGAGCAGTGTGGTCAGAGCCTGGGAGATGGGAAAGGAAAATTCAGTTTGATCAGGGTAGGAAAAGGAAGTGATGAGCCAGGAACCAGGTCACAAACTGCTAGTCCAAGAATACCTGTACCCACTTGGTCCATAAGTTGTCTGTGTGCCACCACTTAAAGCAGTCCATTAAGGAACAGAAAGGCTGTCCAAACAGCCACAGATGTACTGGCTGACATGTCTATAAAGTCCTGAATATCTGTGTTTCCCTAAAATTCTTATGTTGAAATGCTAAGCTCTGAGGTGCTGGTACTAGGAGGCAGAACCTTCATGAAGGAGGCTAGTGCTCTGAGAGAACCTCCATCTCACTTCTGTAAGGGCTGAGATGGGATGTCTCCCATCTGGGGGGACTCTGAGAAGCCCCATCTAAATCTTCCATCCCCCTTCTGTGAGGGCGGTAAGAAAACTCTACCTGAGAGTTTCCATTCCCCTTCTGGGAGGACCACGCAGTCTCCCCTGACAGCTTCAGTCCCCCTTTCTGTGAAGAGTGAGAGAAGGCCCTGTCTCAGAGCTTCTGTCTCCCTTCTGTAAGGGCTCTAAGATAGGCCATCTCCTTTCTGTGAGGACTTTGAGAAGCTCCATCTAAATTTTTCATCTCTTGTCTGTGAGGACTCTGAGAAGGTATCCACTGACAGCTTCTGTCTTTGCTTCTGTGAGGGCTCTGAACTGAAAAGGCCCCATCTCAAAACTTCCATCCATCGCCCTTCTGTGTGCCTGACTTTGGCTTCCCAGCCAAAAACTACAACTGTGAGCCTTTAACTGCAAGCCAAAATAAACCTTTCCTTCTCTAAGTTGCTTTGTGAGGTATTCTGTCATAACAATGAAAAACGTAACTAATAAGGCTGTCCAAAGGCTCTCTAAGTCAGTGCTTCAATTTTAAACTTTGCTTAATCTTTTTTTTTTAATGTGTATAAGTGTATTGCCTGCATGTATGTAAGTGCACCTGTATTATACAATGTCCTCAGAAGACAGAAGAGGGTGTCAGATCCCCTGGAACTGGAGTTAAGGACAGTTGTTAGCTGCCATGTGGGTTCTGGGAACCAAACCTGAGTCCTCTGCAAGAGCTGCTGATACTCTTAACCACTGAACCAACTCTCCAGCCCCCTTAATCTTTTTTAAAAATTGTACTTATATTTTATGTGTATGAGTGTTTTGCCTGCCTGTATGTATGTGCACCACATGTGTGGAAATGCCTGTGGGGACCAGATGAGGAAAGCAGAGCCCCTGGAACTAGAGTTATAGACAGTTGTTAGCTGCCATGTAGGTGCTAGGAACTAAACCTGGGTCCTTCACGAGAGTAACCAGTGCTGTTAACCAGCCATCTCTCTAGCCCATTTTGTTTAATCTTTAAGTCTTGTAAATTATATCATTTGAGTAAAACAACTTAAGAAGTCAGACTATGAATACATACATATATATATGTATATATGAGTATACACACACACACACACACACACACACACACACATTCAGTATAAAGACTATAAAGACATCTAAGAATGACTCTCCTTCTTGGGAAGACCACACCAATCTCCATGTCTTAGGTATGTTCTCTCTCTCTCTCTCTCTCTCTCTCTCTCTCTCTCTCCTCTCCTCTTCTCTCTCTCTCTCCTTCCCCTCTCCTCTCTCTTTCTCTCTGTTTCCCCCCTCTCCACATCCCTCCAACCCCTCACACTCTCTTTCTCTCTCCACCCTTGCTTAAATCTGAAGTACATAATAATCCTTATTTCTACTGAATAAACTCACTAACTTTGCTTTACTCTGGCCCATACTAAAATTATTTTTCATCTCAAGGGACTGACTTTTTCTAAGTAGGAGTTCCTAAAACTGTAGCTACAGTGCTGGGCCAATTCTTCCTGCCACCAATGACTTTGTTTGTTTGTTTGTGATAGCTGGCCTGGAACTCACAATGGAGACCAAACTGGCCTCGATCTCACAAAGATCCACCTGCCTCTGCCTCCCAAGTGCTGGGACTAAAGGAGTCTGCCCCCACACCCAGCTTTACCAATGACATTTTGACTAACACATTTCATGTATGTGTTATCTGTGTGCTGTTCCTTATTCTTTTCCCAAAGCCTCTGTCATGCTGTACGCATCTCTCATATGGAGAAGATGATGTATTCAGTGTCCTGTCTCTCTCCATTTGATAAATCAGATTACTTTCCCAAATTCTCTGGATGATCAGACACGTGGGCTAAGATATACCCACAGAAAAGGATCAGTTGTTAGCAAAATTCACTTTCATGACTAGGTGAAGTAAGATATAGAAATGATGGAAACTGTTCCTTATATAGTATTACAACCCAGTGAAGTGCTGACTCTCAAAATAGGAAGTGAGGGAGGAAGGGAACAGAAGGAATTCTACCCCTAGAACTTCTAATTCTGCTAGTCAGAGATGAGGCTGGGTTTCATTGGGTTTTTAATCCCCCCTAGACACCAGGTATGGTGGCACAGGCCTGTAAATCCCAGCACCTGGAAGGCAGAAGAGGATGATGCAGAATTTAAGACCATCCTTGTCCCACATAGTAAGTTCAAGGTGAGTCTAGGCTACATGAATCTCTAGCTCAAAAATAAAAACAAAAGGGGTTGGAGAAATGGCTCAATGGTTAAGAACACATACTGCTCTTGCAGAGGACATGAGTTCATTTCACAGCACCCACGAAGGCAGCTCATAACTCCCTGAATCTGCAGCTCCAGGAGATCTGAGGATGCTTCTGGCTTCCAGACTCACATGCAAAAACCCCTACACAGATACACATTATACATGTAATTAAAAATAAAAACAAATTCTTAAAAAAATGAAAATAAAATTCCCACTTGATAATTCTAATGACTTGCGAGGTAGGGAAGAAGATAACTTTGGTTCACTGACATTCTGTGCCTTTGCTGCAATGACTCTTTTCATGGACAGCTGCTAGTCACAGTACAGTATTAGAAAACATCAATAGGATCATTTACAAAAGTCTCTAATCTTTGGTACAGGTCTGAATGAAGCACAATCCATGACTCAGTCAGAACTGCAAACACCTGCCTGACAGACTCATCCACAGTGAGCAGCTGCTATCAGCTCAACCCAGTGTCCTTACATGACACAGGCATAGGATGTAACGATGGGCTCGTGTGTGCCCATGGGTACCTGTGGTGTATGTGTGAACATGTGGTATATACACACTCATAGCTCACGCTCATGCAACAGCCTTCAAATTGAAGATCAGGGTAAAGGGGTTATAAAGTGGCCAATATCCACTAAGTGTAGTAACTGATTAAAGGCTCTCTAGTTGGGCTAGGGAAGATCAATGATGGCACCTAGCCCTTTTCCCCTCCATTCTTCTGAGGCCTCCTGTGTATTACAAACCTAAAGTTGTTACAGACCACTTTGAACCCACTCAAGTTATCATCAGAGTCACATCCATCCTGTATACTTGGTGATAGGTCACCTTACCTCATTAACTTTGCGTTGGGCCCCTGCTCTAAGGGACACTGTCCAGCAGGAGCATGGCTCCATGGTAGAACAACTGCATAGCATGTAGGAGGCCCCGGGCTCCATCCCCAAGATCTTACCTCTCTCCCCTTCCTCACTCCTGTGTTTCTCTCCCCACCCCCCACTTCCACTTACTGCAGGCTGCACAGGTGAAGCACGCATCGTGATAGAGGTCCCCCATGGCCTGGCAGGCCTGGCCAGCTCCAAACACCCCTTTGCTGCATTTCACACAGGCTCCTGCAAGGCAATAAGATACCACTGAGTCAGGAGGGAACTGGGATAAAACACCATGAAAATACCATGAACAGAGTGGGATATCTTCCCCCTCAAAACACCACACCTGTGGATTTCTCCTTGGAAATGTCTTTCTCTTACTTTCTCTTTCACAGCTCAGTGCTTCCAACTTCAGGACACACACACACACACACACACACACACACACACACACACACACGCACAGTCCTCCATACCTGCCCAGAGCTTTCAAAGGCTTCTACCACTCAGCAAAGCAAATTCTAACCATGACTATACCAGAGCTGGGGGAAAAAAAAAAAAAAAAACTGATCTCAATCAAAAAGACAAAAAAAAAAATAAAGTGTTTGAATATGTTTAAATACATTGTGTAATACTAAGATCTTTTCTTTGAAAAATTGAAAATTTTGAGTCAGGGTCTCACTCTGTAGCCAAGCCTGAATTGAAAGTCATCATGCAGCCTCAAATGACTTCAAACTCATGGTAATCCTCCTGCCTTGGCCTCCTGAGTGCTGAGATTACATGTATGTGTCACCATGCTTGGCTGAAAACTAATTTTATACGAATCATATGTCTTATGTTCAAAAACTCTCTCAGCACTCAGAAGGGCAACCAGCTCATTCATACCTTTGGCCAGCTGGGGTGCAGGTACCCCCTTTCTAACTGTGGTTCCAATCTGTCAGGCTGCAAACCCCCATCTGCCTACAGGCAAACATTGTGTTTCAAAGTTCCTATTTCAAATCAACAAACCAATCACTATCAAAGAAAGTCTAAGCTAAACACATCCTTTATGAAACTTCTCTACACCAACCACTCAGGGGAAGAGGGAACATTATGCCAAGGACCCTCAGGTTCCCTCAAACAGAAGTCTCAGCCTACTCACATACACCACACACACATACATGCACATATACATAAGCAATAGCCATTGAAGAGAAGATGGAAGGGGAGAGACTTATGGGAACTTTCTACACATGTTGGAAATATTCTGGATCTCCATTTGGGCTTGTATGATTTACATAGGACCTTTGTCAGAGCACATTGAATGGCACTCATCATGCAGATGCTTATTAGGACATAATCCTGTCAGCCAAGAAATACAAGCTGGTCAGGCAGCAACCACAGCTCCACCTGAGCAGACAGTATGGAATGGCAAAGCAAAGCACTCGTGACAATTTTGCTCATTCACATGATGCAAATCACCCCGAGTGTGGCCTGGCTTCATCTGTTAGTTGCTAGGGCCTCTTTACTTGCCCCACTGTAGAAACAGCTGCAAAGAGCAGAGGAGCCGGAGCCTCCCCAGCTTGCTGTGGTGTGACCACCCCTTCCACCCATGAACAGGACTGGCCTCAAGACAAAAAGGAGGACCCAAGAGTGAACTCATCTGATTAAGGCTAAGGGAAGAAAATAATCAGACAGCCCTCCCACCTTGTTCATAAAGCTTAGGGCAGAAAGGATGGCAGCTCCAGGGTGCCCTAACAACTGCCCAGCCTCCCAGGCCTTCCCTACTCTGTGCCCTGTCCAGCAATGCTCTCTTCTGGTTCCTCCTTATCTGAGACCTGTGACCCACTACCTCCAGCCTCCCATCTTGCTTTCAGACCTTGAACTTCACTCCTTTGGGCTGCTGGCATCCTTCCTCACCACATGGACTGCTGAGGGCAGATACAAAGCAAGGAAGGAAACTCTGTATTGAAACCGTTGTTCACAGACAAAGGAACATCCCACACAAAGCCACATCAGTAGGAAAATATTTGGTGTGTTGGTGTGTGGTAAATGGATAGAAAAGTTCCTCCTGGAGAGACAAGGTAGGAAAATACAAATAATTCAAGGTTTACATTCTGGAAAACAATGTGCCTACCACTAGACCTTCATGAAAGAGGCCCTACCATAAACTCCTCTCCATAAACTAAATTCTAGAAAGGCTTTGTTAAAGGTCACACTACTGGTAGGTTTAAGAGACAGAACTGAGCTCACCTTATCTCTGTGTGGCTATTATGCCATGCACGTGGAGCACCTTATCAAGAGATGGGGTTCCTTCCTCACCCGCAATACATTCCCTGTTCAGGATTCAGACCCAAGGACAGTCATGCCTTAGACCTCCTATCCCTGCCTGACCTACCTCTCATTCTGTCCTGTCCCCCAACCCTCAAGGCCACCTCTGCCTGAAACCTCAACCACAAGGCCTCTCCCAAGAAGATGCACCCTTCTGCCAGGGACGGCGTGCAGCCTGATGTCTTCCTCCCCCACCCCCTTATGGTCTAGAAGACAGCACTTGTTCACTTTTCATCCCTCGGAGACAGGCTCTCCAGATGCTGCAATGAGATGAAAAGCAAAGATAACTAGATTTAGCCTGCCCTGGGGGGAACTGCTCTGCCGCAGTGGGCAAGGCTGCCCACCTCACCCAGGATCCTACATGGAAGTTCACAAAGTGGCTCAGGGTGGGACTCAACAGAAAAGAAAGAAGACGGAGTTGTTGACTTCCTTCTGCTCTTACATACCCCTGAAGCCACCACAAATACCCCAAAAGAAAGAAAATGTCACCAGCTGTTACTGAACCAGGGGGAAATGAGTAAGACAAAAGTTTTAGGGGGCAAGAAGAAATGGATGCTTTTCCCTGTGGTTTAACTTACTGCCCTTTAATTCAGTCTCCAAACTAGCCAGGGAGAGTGAGTGAGTGACTGGTTTCTGTTTTCTGAGACAGAGTGAGTCACTCTGTAGCCCAGGCTGGCCTCAAATTCTCAGCAATGATTTTCCCTCAGCCTCCTAAATACTGGGCTACAGGTATGATATAATGCCCAGCATGAGGCGGCCTTTAAGAGATTCAGTGAGCTGCCCACATTTAAATTTAACTTTTTATTTTATTTCATTTATTTATTTATTGTATGTGTGTACGTGTGTGTTTGTGTGTATGCAATGACATATGTGTGGAGGTCAGAGGACAACTTGCAGGAGTTGGTGCTCTCCTTTCATCCTATGGATTCTGAGGATGGAACACAGGTCGTCAGGCTTAGAGACGGTTACCTGCTGAACATCTGTCCGGCTGGCTGAACCATCCACATTTAAAGGTTCGATTTGATAGGTGTTGAGACTGACAAATGCCTGTAGAATCAGCATAGCAAAGACAGCAAACATAACTGCTACCCCCACCACTCGTGAGTCCCACATCCTTCTGTCCTCCTGCCTTTTGCAACCCACACTTCAGCTCCCCTCCCCAGGCAAACACAGATCTGTTTTCTGTCGTCATAGATTAGCTTGTGTCTTCCTGAGTTTATACCTGGACTATGTTTACACACCTGGACTATGCACTCTTCTTTATCTGGTTTCTTTCACTCAGCACAATTATTTTAGGGTTCTCCCATGTCCTGGGGTATAGGAATGACTTCTGGACATTATAGTGACCTTTACTCAACCTTGAACCAAAAGCTACTATTTTTTTTTTTTTTTTGGTCTTTTTGAGACAGGGTCTCCCTGTAGCCCCAGCTGTCCTGGAACTCACTATGTAGACCAGGCTGGCTTTGAACTCACAGAGATCTGCCTGCCTCTGCTGGGATTAAAGCCGTGTGCCACCATGCCCGGCTAAAAGCTACTATTTATAATGCAAACAAGCTCAGGGTGTTCTAGTGACCTGGGCACCTGACCTTGATCCCTCCTGAGCCACTTTGCTTTCCACCCAAGACGTTGAATGAATGAATGTGGGTGTGCTTGAAGTAGCAGATCAAAGCACTGGAAGCTGGAAGCAGTACGCTCATATCCACATCCTCATTGAAGACAGTGTATGTGTGAGATACTTTAGGCCTAGGGATCAAAGGGTAAGAGTCTCTGAAAAATAAGTGAATCCAAGCGTGTAGTTCCCCAATTGATGCTGGAGAAATGATTTTGAATAAAAGTATGGGTAAGGCCTGGCTCAAAAGCACAGTTCTGTGAGATATCAGAGGGATAAGACGATTCATTCTGAGAGTTCGGGTGCATTCTTAAAACTAACACTAAGTGTCAGGCTGATTATTAAGGTACAACTGTAATGTGGCTTAGTAATACCATGCTGGGGGTTTTAACAGTTTATTCCTTCTTGTTGCCATGCAGTATTCAAGTGTACGGACAGATGAAATTGTGCTCGCCCAAGTCACCTGTTCATGAAGATGAACATGGATATGATTCCATTTGAGGCTACATAGAGGTGCTATCAGCATGTGTGCATGAATGCCTATATAGATATAGATTTCCTTTTCTCTGGAGTGAGGAACTAGGAGTGGAATGGCCAGGTCTCATGCTGGTATATGGTTAACTTCCTAAGAAACTGTCCAACTGTTTCCTCTTTTGTTTGAGACAGGGTCTCATAAAGCCCAGCAGGCCTTAACTCACCATGTAGCTAAGGATGACTTTGAATTTCTGATCCTCCTGCTTTCACTTCCTCTTACCCTGAGTGCTGAGATTCCATGTTTATGTGGTGTTGGGGAGTCCAGGGCCTCCCAGGACTTTATACAGGCTAAGCAAACACTCTACCAACTAAGCCACATCCCTAAACTTGGCCCAACAATTTTCTGAAGACACAAGATGACCTGACATTCCACCAGCAGCTTTGGGTTCCAACTTCTCCACATTCTTAAAGACAACTGGTGAACAGCACCTTTAATTCCAACCATTCTAACGCGTGTGCGGTAGTGCCGAATTGTGGCTTCCACCTATACTTCTCTACATAGCACCCACTGCTGTGACTGAGTATCGTGCTTTATCTGTTTTGTGTTTTGTCTGTTTTAGGCCAGAGATTCATTCAGTCCCTGTTGTTCTAACCTCAGAATGAACATCTATTAAGCATGCACCAAGCTTGTGCTAGACATAATTTAGTTAACAATTCTACATACAGATAGGATCATCACTTTACCAATGAAGAAAATAAAGTTCAAAGATGAAGCAGAAAGCTCCAAGTTCTGCTCACTCAGTGCCTATAACCATTCTAGTCCATCATCAGACCTCATAAGGCACATCCC